CCGCGCGGGCCTTCGAGAGTTATGTCTTGTGCTTGTTGCAATGCCCCCGACGCCAGCCCGTGCTCGGCCACGGGCTGCGTCGTGGAGGCTGGGCGTGCTACGGCCCCTGGCAGCACCTCCGACGCGCTCAGGAGGGCGTCGTTTGGGGATCGATCTGCCTCCCCTTCCTCCCCCTCCTCCTCCTCCTCCTCCTCCTCCTCCTCCTCCTCCTCCTCCTCCTCCTCCTCCTCCTCCTCCTCCTCCTCCTCCCCCCTCCCCCCTGTGCCCCATTCCGCACACGCGGCTACCCACTCCTGCACGGGTCCAGCGCGTCGCCGGTTGCACAGCGACCGCGACATGCAGGCGCGGAGAGGCCGCGGGCTGCCTCCACCGCAGCAACCGTGGCAGCCCGCGGCGCTGCCCCCAGTGTCGCCCCTGCGCCATCCGCCACCACCCCCTCCGCCCAGGCGCCAAGCAGTGGCCCTTCCCGCTGCTGCACGTGTCCCACGTTCTCAGCGCGCTCACTGTCCTGGCATCCTCGGGCCCCCGCTCCCACTCGAGCGCGTGCAGGTCCCAGCCTCGAGGCCCAGCAGGGGAGTGAATGTTCCAGGCGCAGGTCCAGCGGCCGAGCAACACGCGTCTCTACTAGTACTGACGCCGCCAGGGGACCTTATTTTGGCTTCCAGTTCTCCATCTATGAGACCTGTGGACGAACTTGACGGACAGTGCCGTCTCAGTAGAAGAAAGCGTTTGTCCTCTTCCCGGGTTGCCAATGAAGCTTTTGAACGTCCGTGCAGTCTGACAGGCTTCGATCCAGCGCTTGTCTCCAAGGGCCGCCCCCTGTCGCCTCCTCCGTTGCACTCAACCTTCTTTTCAGAGAGCGATGCTAAGAGCCGTGCTCCCTTAGCTTGCCCTGACAGTTCGGCCATTTACCAGGCTAGTGTTTCCTCCCAGTTAGCTGATAGCACCGCTGACTCACGATTGCATTATCAGTTCTTTCGACGATCTCGAGTTTTCCCAGCGCCTGCCCCAGTGGGACGCCCCCGATCGCGTTCCGGATCCCCACACTTGAAGAACGAAGCTGAAAGGCGCCGCCGTGCAAAGGCAACAGCTCAGGAGCTGTCTCCTCCGCGCGAGCACTGGCTGCATGGGAGTCATCCTGCCAATGCCAGGGCTCACCAGGAGTTCATTGAAGGCGACATCAACGCCTACGCCTACCTTCGGGCCAGGCGGACAGGACTCACCTTCGACGACGCCATGCAAGACGGTCCACTTCCTGAGCACGAGCGTCCTCCACTGCCCAATCGTGAAGCTCTCAAGGCTTATGATGTGCCAACCTACTTGAGCCTTGATCACCAGAACGAATTTCGAGCGCTGAGCAGTACCGAAACTGGAGTGTTCTCACGTGTCAGGCCCTGGGAGGCGATACTCATTCGACATGTTGCTAGCGTGTCGGGTAGACATTTGTTCGATCTTTCTCTGGGTGCTGCTCGAAATTTCTTTGGGTTGTGGTCCTTAAGTACGATGGGACCAACATAACTCAAGGCATCTGGATACGACTAGCCGCCACAACGGGATTCACGCGCAGGAGCCGCAGACGCAGCTTCAGGGGCTTCAGATGCAGTCCATCCTCCCAGCTGCAAAGCGTGCGTTGCTAGGACATGGCCTGTTTCGAGAGCTGCTAGAGGCTGTCTGTATTGCTTCAAGTGCGTACCCAACCAGCCCCCAGCGTGCCACCACTGCGGGCTTGTCACGCATGATGGCCGTTGGCACAGCGCCAAGATATGCAGAGCACGCAAAAAATTCAATGCCGGTTTTGCTGGGCTGAATTTGTGCCCCAGTTCGAGCAGGAGGCGTGGATTGCTTGGTTCGATCATCGATCCCAGGAGTCACCCGATGTTTTTCCCGTGCTCGACAGCAAGACTAGCCAATCCTTGTCACACGTTGCCCGCAGCCTGCTCCGATTGCGCAGGCCTCTTCGACGGCTGCCGTCGCATCTCTGGAGCCGGGTCTTGGATTACTGTAGGTCTATGCAGGTTCCTTGCATGTGGGTCGCCCCACTCGGCCTCCACTTCCTCTGCAGTCGCGCTCTGTCCTGCGATCACTTCTGGACCAGATTTCCCCGGTGTATGCTGTCAGGGCTGTGCTTCCAATCAGCCCGCGAGTATTCGAGTCTGGCCGAAATTGGCGATTGTCTCTATCTTATGGCTTCGCGCATCTGCTGTTCGCATGCCTGATCCCGAGGCTTTGCCTCCTCCTGGCCTCGCCGTGGGGCTGCGCTCCTTCCCTTCCCCCCCTCTTTGTTAATTCAAGCTTCGCGCGGCCCGCTTAGCTTCGACCGGAAGAGGTGCGCTCTCGACCCGCGAATCAAACAAAAAGAAGCATTTGCTTTTCGCTGTCTGCATGTGATGTGTGCTCCTGCAGCTTGCCAAAACCTGCATGCTGGTTAGGGGCCTCCAGCCTGCCTGTCCCGCCTTCTGGGTCTCCCCACAGTGCCCCGTCGAACTCTTGATCTCGCGCCGTCCAAGGTAGTGGCATCGTCCGCCCATCATTGGTTGTAGCCTTTTCTTCGCTCTGACGTTGCTCCGATCTGGTGGACGATTCCACGTCGTGTGGTTTGTGTCGACTGCTCATCCCTGCATAGCAGGATGTTGTGCCCAGCTGCTGGCCCTTCAGTCGCAGCATAGAAGCCGACCGCGGGTCTCCACACTGTTGGATTCAGACCATTGTCTGCTCCCGGCTGGGGTGGCGCACAACCGTTCGGTCCTTCGAGCCTCCCATGCGTCCTCCCCCGTTGGCACTGTCCACCTGTTCCCTTCCTCCCAGGACTGCAGCGTGCACCTCCCAATCGCGACAGTTGCCTTGTTCGACCTAGGTGTATGTTGTTCCCATCCTACTTCAGGACCAAATCCCAGAAATAATTTCGAGCACCCAGAAAAGTGTCAAAAGAGTGTCGAAACGGTGTCGGGCGAGTGTCTCCCAGGGCCCGACACGTGAAAACCCTTGAGCTTCGGTACTTTGTTTGGGCCGCTCGAAATTCTTCCAGGTGGTCAGGGCTAAAGTAGGTTGGAGCATCATAAACCTGGGTGCGCTGGCGCACCCAAACTCTTTCACCAGCACGGGTCGGGGGCGCTCGCCCGAGGCGTTCTCCTAGCGTGCAGCCGGCAGGTAGTCGTCCCTTACCAATACCGATCCCGGTACTTCTCGCCCCTTGGGAATGAAGAGGCTGCCTGATTGCACTGGACGGCAAACCTTGGTGCCACGCTTGGACGTCCATCGCCACGGCAAGTTCTTGGTCTCTGGCCGACGTTCCAGCGCTCGAGGAGTGCACCCTTGTTTGCGCGCACGTTGTTGGCGCTTTCAGTGTTTACACCCAGTTGGCCTCAGGGGAGCTTCGAGCTTAAGTCGGATCGCAGTTCGAGGCTCGAGCTTCGATGATCCACGCTTTTGTACGTTGCTCGCCCTTGTCTGGGTCTCTTTCCTGGGAGTTGCTCGTGGCCGCAACTGGATCCGCTTCGAAATTCTGGCCAAACGCACCTCAGCGTGGGTCCGTGGGTCGTCGTCGCCGCCGCTTCAATTTTCCGAAGATTGGCATTTTCAATCGCGACTTTTTTGTTCAGTTTCGGCCTTCGTGGCCGTTCTCTGGCCGCTGGACTATCAAAAACAATTGTCCCATGAAAGGGGTCGGGATTTTTTGGGAGCCACGGATAGCCAAAAGCACGTGACCGGATGTCTGGGTCCGTCGTCGTCGTGGCGTCAACGTCGACGTCGACGTTGTCGTCGACGTTTTCAAAAGTTTTCGGGTGGATGTCTCCCGTGGTCTTCTGTGATGTCGCGTGTCTTTTCTGTGATTCCGCATGTCTTCTGTGGTTCCGCATGTCTTCTTGTGGGTCTGCGGGGGTTGTTCGGCTGTCCTCAGAATGTTCGGAGGTGCTCCCAGGGACCGGGGTGGTGTTCGGAGGGCTTCGAAGATCCGTGGGCCCGGGAGCGCGTCGCCCTGCGGCGGGCGGCAGCGCAGAGAGAGCCGGGCGCACGGCACACCCGAGGGGGCACGGGGGGGCCACCTGTGAGGCGGCCTCTCCGCGCCGCGGCGGCCAGCGGGGCACCGTGGGCGAAGACTGAAGGCGGGCACGCGTCCCCCTGCAGGAGGAATTCTCCAAAACTAGTAGGTGAAAAGATAGCTGGGGGACAATGTTTCGGCTGTGTTTGAGCATGTTTTGACTATTCCGCAATGTTCGCCCCGAATCCGCCTGTAGGGGGACCATGCCCGACCCAAGCGAAGACCGATCCGCACACCTCGAGGAGCGAAGCACCACGCACACGAGCAGAAGCGCTGCACAGACGCTTGAGGCAACCAGCCTTTGGATGCACGCGACAGCCCTGGGGGCGCGCGCGGAACATCCAGTCAGAACTCCACGCTCTGCGACCCCAGATTGGAAGCGCGGAGAAACAGAACAACAGAAGCGTTTGGAGGTCCGCGCAGATGTCTCGCCTCGGCGCCGGAGACCCCCTGGCGGCGCCTCCGGCGCCGCCCCCGCGCGCGGAGTGCGCCCGGGAGGGGGGCCTGGCGCAGAGCCACGACGTCCGCGCGGACCTCCGAAGGTTCTAGCATTGTGTCGGGCCTGTCCCCCTACAGGGGGATTTTCGACGAAAAATATGAAATACCCCAAAAATAATCCAAAAATAGTATGGGGAGCATTTTTTGATTAGTTGTTTGCCTTTTTGACGCGTGTTTGGTGGATTTGCTATTTTTCGTCAAAGATTCCCTGTAGGCGGACACGCCCGACATAGTTCTAGCATCCCGTCGCCTCGTGGGCCGGGCCCCTGGGCCGCGAATTCGCGGGCACGGGGCGTTTTTGCTCGTGCTCTTCCGCGTGGAGCGCAGCCCTGCTGCCGCGCAGCCGCGGGCTCGCGCCCCAGAATATCCAGAGCGCGAGGGCGCGGATGCGGACGGTGTGTCCGCCGCTCGTGGGGCAGCTCTGGCCGGCGGTCTCTCCCCGAGCATCCCGCGGCGCCCGCAGGCGCCGCCCCCGCCGCCGCCCGACGCCAAGGAGGTCGTCACTCCCAAGGCCGCCGAGCGGGGCCTCCTACGAGCGAAGCGCTCTGAGGGGGAGTCGGCACCTTTCGGAGGGAGCCGGCTGGGGGTCTGTCGGAGGTGGACAGACCTCCTACCCTGACACGTCGATTAGTGAATTGGCCGTTTTCGGTTCGCGAGAGGGCGTCGCGGCCGTCATTTTTGCGGGTCCAGGTCCGTCGGTTTCGGTCCCAGGCCGTTTTCATTAAGGGGAGGTTTACTAAAGGGAGGATTGTCCACCGCCGAGCCTGAGGTGACCCTCACGCAGTGACGAAGCGTCCTGGCGTGCCTATAGGCCTACCAAACCATGTTCCAAGAGCTTGTTTTGTTGTTTCCACGAAATGTTCTTGGAACATTTCTGGCCGAGACTGTCTTGTTTTGACACATCGGGCTTATGTTCTAAGAACATGGTTTTGGCTCTTAGAACATTTTTGGGTTCTAAGAACATTCCGTGGTAGGCCTATAGAACTGCCGGGACGGTCGGTCCTTGCTCAAGACTCAGCCCTGGTTCGGGCCAGCAAGGAGGACAGGCAGAGGTTCGAGCTTCCGGGGGCCGCTTTTGATCCGGGGTGAAAAATTACACCAGATGGACCTTGGGAGGGGTCCAGGGACGGATTGTTCGACGGATTTCGCTTCATCACCCCCTCCTGACCGATTTTCTAAAACCCCTTGGTTGCCTCCAACCTCTGTGCTTCGAAGAACAGGGGAAAATGGCACAAGCATGAACTTTCGGAGGTCAGTGCTGATTTCTTGGATCGGCGCCGGACCCCCTCCCTGGCTCGCGGAACGCGCCGGAGGCGCCGCCAGGGTGTTCCAGCGCCGATCCTAGAAATCCGCGCGGACCTCCGCAGGTTTATGTATATGTTATAATTACTTAAAGGATAGCTCTGGGCTTGTCCTCTAAGGAGTACGATCCTTTACAACAACATGACACTTCATAAGGATACTACTGGAACATCACAAAACAGCAACAACACATACTTCACATAATCTTGAAAACAGTGTTCTCAACATTCCAATCAAGAAGTTGTTATTAATTATTCGTACAATAGTGTTGTTTATATATGCGTTGATATGTTCATTATGATTCATAATGTTTAACATATTTATTCGAAACATTTGCATTATTGTTTATTATATTGTTCGTTGTTGTTGATATTCTTTTAAAGTGTTGCATTGTTTGGATGCATTGTTTGGATGTAGCGACATTGTATAGTGTCCATACTGTTACTGCTGCTATTCTGATATCGTGAATGTGTCTGTGTGTGTGTGTGTAAGGCCATGCGGCTCCACATGCTCTAGGCTATGGTGTACAAACGTAGCGTGCGCACTCTAGGCCATGGTGTGCACAACCTGTTGGAGAGGGGAATGCGGGGCGCCGCCGCTTCGGCCCCGACCCGCGCCCACGCGGGCCCGCCTCGCGCGCCGCAGAAGCGCCAGCGAGGCCGAACGAGGACCAGAGAGACCGGAGGGGTCGCGAGGGAGGGCGAGACAGACGGGGAACGGGGAGGTGCGAGGGCGGGCGGGGGCAAGGGCAGGAGAGGGAGGGCAACCTTGGCGAGGGGGAAAAGCGGCGGGCGGTTTTTTTGACGTTGCATTGTCTTGGTTGGCGCACTGTGATCCGCACTCACGCTTGCACTCCTTCAGAGCGAGCACCGAACTCCGAATTCGGCCCCGCTCCCCTGAGGCCCCCCTTGAGGCCCCCCCCCGCCCCCTGAGGGGGACCCCCCTTGAGGCCCCCCGTGAAGGCCCCCCTTGAGGCCCCCCCTTCCGATTCCCAGTCATCGCGCTGCCCCCCCCATCAGGGCGTCTCGAAGAAGGGGAACTGGGCGTCAAAAAGCGCCGGGCTAGTCCGCCGCCGCCCTCGAAGCGGAGGGGTGCCCATCAGTGGAGTGGGCGTAGTGGGGGGATAAGGGCGACGGGAGATGAGTAGGGGGCTGGGAAAGAAGGAGCAGGAAGAGGAGAAGGAGGAGGAGGAGGAGGAGGACGAGGATAATATGATAATCACAATGAGGAGGGGCGGAGAAGGATGAGGAGGAGGAGGAGGAAGAGGGAAGGAGGAGGAGGAGGGGGGAGGAGGAGGAGGGCGAGGAGGCAGAGGATGAGGAGGAGGGGAGAAATGCGGAGGATAATGACGAGGAGGAAGGGGGATGAGGAGGAGGAGGAGGAGGAGGAGGAGGAGGAGCAGGAGTAAGAGCGGAAGGAGGAGTAGAGAGTAGGAGTAGGAGGGGGAGCGTGAGTAACAGATGGAGGAGGAGGAAGAAGAAGGAGGAGCAGGAAGAGGAGGGAGAGGGGGACGAGGAGGAGGGGGAGGATGAGGAGAAAGAGGAGGTGGGGGGCGGAGGAAGAGGAGGGCGAGGGGAGGAGGAGGAGGAGGAGGAGGAGGAGGAGTGCAAGGGCGAGGTGGACGGGGGGAAAAGAGGGGAGACGAGTCCTCGATCGGCGTC